GCGCGCCCCATGGTTGACAACTGCTCGTGCGCCCGTGTGCGTCAGTCTTGCATGCTTTCAACCCATCTGAGCAACCGCCTTCGTTCTGGAGCAGATATTAGAATGAATCCTAAAAAATTCGCTAAAAAGCATGCTTCAAAAAAACTGAAGCAGATCAGCGATGAGATCAAAAATCAAAATGTAAACAGTTATAACACTTACGCGCTTTCCACTCTAGCCACTTCGCATGTATAAGACGCAGTGGTGAAAAGGCATATGTCAGCAATTTGTACAACACTGACCTGTAATTCACAAAAAAATAAGGAAGCAATGGAAACCAAATCCAACTAGCGTGCCCACCTTTAGTTTCTTTACGGACTTGTTGCTGTTATTTTGTATATGAACATTCACAGCTATTGATTCACCATGATAGTACATCTGAAGACACATTGTTTGTAAAATCGTTGCTTTAAAATTCTCTAACCTCCTTATCCAGCGATGCTTCCATATGAAGAAGTCCAGCACTCATCATGAAGTCCTTACTAACGTCTGCTGTCGGTTGTGGCCGCGCTTCCCAAGGAGCATAAGTCAGCTTTCGGATTGCCAGTCGCACGCTGCTGCTAAAATTACATTTCATAGAAAAAGTCACAATACCAACAATCTATAATTTAGGTCTCGACATTCTGGAAGATGAAAATAACAAAGTGTGGCAAATGCATGAAAAGTAAGGACACACTTCCTGCGCTGACGATCACTGGTATTTGAGTCAGAGCTTCCAACAACAGTCTTGAGTTCATAGTCAACTCCACATGGTTTCCCAGTATCTCCGGGTGCAGGCTGTAAAAGCCTCACTTCGTTTTCTAATGCTAAGGCTTAGTGAACAAATACCTGCAAGGTGACGCTACTGGCACTTCGTGGTGGGATCTCAAACCAGAAGGGAAATGCCAGATCACCTAATTTCCGCTTCAATCTCTCCTGTAGTCGCGTCAATGGCCTTGTCGTTTGTGAAGGGGTTGGTGGAAAGACCTAAATCGGATAATGCAAAAAATCTGAATCAGCAGTGGTTGACATAAGGTTAATGGTAATGCCCACTTTCCAGGCTCACCCATGAAAAAGGAAGGGTACATTGAATTCCTGACCTCTACATGGGTGGGTTTGGAAAATGGTGGGATAGTAACTTGTTTAACTGATCTTTTGACTATCATATCAAAATATTCGTCAATTTTGATGATCTTACTCTCACCTGATACTGTTGTGATATCAGATCCTTTCGAAAAGTCAGTCCTAATACATCCAGGTCTTCTCGTCCATATCGGAATGCCGCCAACAGTGTGGCGGTCACTCTTCGCCCTTCCCGGACCGTCTCCTCGTCTACCAATACCATTCCATCTGAACAGTTTCAGAAACGATAAATATAATAAAATCGAAGAAAGGTAAGGAGCCAACCTATCAGATCAACATAGTCACCGCGATCAATGAAGTCTCGTTTACCAAGGTATGTCGTGATCTAAACATTCTAGATAATGACTCAATGATGATAATCCACGAAGATCGAGTTCAAATCTTCGAAGAAACTGCAGTGCTCGTCATTATCAAAGACTTTCATCCTCTCAACGATGAGAGATTGTTCTGTAGGCAACTCCAAAAAATATGTTTTGTAGGCCAGATCCATCTGCCGTTAGCGTAGCGCTGCTCATTCAAAAAGATTTCAACATAGACTGTTCGATAGAAACTAGTGCGCAAAAATTAAAACGAAAACACTGCATTTCAGATTCAATAGTTGGTTAATTTCTTATATTTTAAAGTCTCGACTCTTAAGTACAAAAAATCGAAAAAAAACTGTGTTGGTGTGTGAAAAGCACTCGTCGCACCAAACGTAATCGCGAAAAGCATTCTCATTAATGATGCTGAATTCAACATAGAACAACGCATTTCGGACTGATCTCACTGTAGATCATGCCTTCAGGCACGTATTATCCTTTATACATTTTTTCCTGTAGTCTTGCATCACATCTAACAATAAGATGTAGCCTCAGCGCTTCTTCAATGCCCTACTTTCGTGCTAAACCCGAAGTGTTATGAAGCGCTATTCTGTACCCTCTATAAAATTCCGAATAACAGTACAAGCAGTACAAGTCGCTTCCTTTATGCAGTGAAATAGTAATTCCCATGGTGCGCCCACACATTTCCGAAACGATTTTTTTGCTCTTAGTTTCATGTCGTCCCGCGATTCACCAAAAATTTCTTATATAGTGATACGGCTACGGTGGAGTGCCGTGTTTTGAGGCCGCATCGCGTATCATTCTGACCAAGAGACACGAACACGCTTTGCGTACGTCAGATGGACAAGTTCATGGGTGCGTCCTAACGCGTTTTGGATAATCTATTACGTTCATGAAAGGACATGTTCGAACTTGTCAAATAATACGAGTTCGAACATGTTCATTCACGAATTCGTGATAGTAATTTACCAAAACGCGTTAGAACGCGCTTATGAACTTGTTAACCACACATAGGCAGAGCGTGCTCGTGTCTCTTAGTCAGAGAATGAATAATAGAT